ATAGGTGGGTGTGGCAGGAGGGGTCTGATTTTCTGTTTGATAACTCTATAACCAAAAAGACTATAAAAATTATGGTTTGTCTGAACAATGACAATTTTATAGTTAGTAATTTATATTTAATTTCATAGTTACTGGAAGGGTGGTGGATAAACTAGAGAAGAGGAGATACCTAGAGAAAATGTGTCATGTGTCATACTAGGGGAAATTCAGGATTTTTGTTTAAATATTGCCTTATAGAATTAAGAATTTAAACTTGTATGCTATTAAAATATGGATTATTAGCTAATATTTTATGCTATACTTATTAGTATAAAGTAAACAAAAAGTAGTTTAATAAAATTTGAATGTAAGACACTAAAACCTTGTGTCATGTGCAGTAAAGGATACTCGTGGCGATAAGGTTAACCAGAATTTTTGTCTTTCAAGACTGCTGCAAAAGAATATGTTTTACTTTTGTTTTTCTCACTAAAATAAATATAATTTATATATATCATGTTACTAACAGCCACTATGATAAAGAACAGTCCACTTGACATGGGTTATGAAAATTGTTTTGATGTAACATTTATATTCTTTGATTTTGTGGTCGATTTTTAGAGTACATACACACTTAGGGTTCTTTTGAAATCAGGCTTAAAATTTACCTACTTTAAGTTAGCTTTGATTTTTACACAATAGATTATAATGCTATAAATCAAGTTGCTCTTGGAGAATCTCTCTATTACAGTGATGGAGCGTGTACATGAAAATGAATCTGTGAAACTCATAAGATTGAAAGAAGGACTGATCAAGGTTTCTGATGCTTATGTGGAGATGTCCAGTAAATGTGCAATCATTTTTGATGCTCAAAAGGTGAAGTAACACAATTACCTTAAACTGTTACATTATATCATAAAATATTACTTAGATTTGGAGTGATTTAAACAAGGTAATATATATATTTTTTCATACAACGTAAATCTCGTTAACAAATTTCCTTGTGCAATCAAGAAGGTGCTTCAGTGTATAAGAAAGCAATTTTATAGATAACAACTGTTTTTCTTGCAGTGTTGGGTATTCAGAATATTTTATATTGATAAGTTTTCTTTTCTTTGTTTTAATATAGTTACTCTGTTTGAATATAAATGTGATGTTTTTCACAAAAAGATCAGATAAAGTATTCCAACCAAACTGTTGTTTGTATTTCAGGAGATATCCCATTACGTTCCAGATGTTCATGATAGAGACTTAAATGAGGTCAAATACACTGGTAGGTAGAGACTGAAATACTAAAATAGTTCTGATTTAAAGGTATAACTTCCTTTCTCTGGTCTGAGTTCCAGGTACTGGTCTGAGTTCCAGGTACGTCTTTATTTTTGGGGGGGGGGGGGTAAAAACTTGAGGAGAAGTGTGAAACTTGGATTTTGTTGATTCACAGTTGCTAGGCTTTCAGAGCATTAACAAGAATAGATTTGATAAAGTTATTAACCATAGGCTTGATTGTGGCCTACTGGTTTGTTTATCAGACTGGTGATCCGAGAGTTTTGGGTTTGAGACATGGCAGTACCAAACATGCTTCACTTTTTCACTGTAAGTATATTATAAAGGTGACAGTCAATCACACTATTCAGTTAAGAGTAGCCACTTCAGGTGGTGGGTGCTCATGATTGTTTGCCTTTCCTCTGGTTAACAGTTTAAAATTAGAAGTGGTTATGCTGAACCATAGGGTTTTCTTAAAGTAACTTTTTGGTTCATAGTGTGCATAAGATGTCATTCAAGTGAATATATTTAATAAATACTAAATAGAATCTGGCCTTGAATCAATGGAATTGGAAATTTTCATTTTTCTTCAAATTGTAAGTTAGATTTCTTTCTTTAGATTTAATCTTTTTTGGTAGTTTCAGCTGTTACAAAATGCCTTATTAGCAATTACCAGTGGTTTAAACCTATAACTTATTGGTAGAGCACTCACCGTGTATGTATGTGACAGGTTTCTGGTTTGACTCAATCCAAATAAGATAAAAAGATTACCACAGAAAAATGTTACTTTTAACTAGTCTGTGGTATTTAGGTTTACTGGTATCCAACAGATAACCAAAAAAGTTGCCATGAAACTGAAGGTTTAGGAAATGTTACTTAGAGAATAAATTGAACACACAGAGCAAAGAATCACAAATACACCAATGTAACAATAAAATGGAAAGATTTAATAATACAATGTGTAAATGTGTGTTTCACTTACTTGGCCGGCTTTCATATTTTACTGAATGACCACAACTAGCTGCTGGAGTCTGGGAAGAATTTCCTAAGTGTGGTGTCCCACAATCCATAAATACTTAAGTTAATGACTATTACAAATAACATTTTTCATATCACCTTGCACCAATATCTGTAGATCAGCTTGCCCTGGAATCAGGGAGTGGATACAGATACGGAGTCACAAGCTTTCATGAGATAGCTGATGCTGTTTATTACCTTTAACTAAGCAAATGGATGAGTACATGTTTATACAGAGCACATGAAACAAATTTAGAAGAATTAACCAAATATATATATATAACTAATGACGGAAGAGTGAAATTATCAGTTATCTTAACTATGACACCGTATTAAGGTTTTGTAGTTCAAGGTTTCTTTTCAGGAGTGGATGATATTTTGTATTGTAACAATTAAGATTCATGATACATTAGCTCTGAGGAAAAACTTGAGTTTTCTAGTTGATAAATTACCAAGTGATGGGTAATGTCATTTCTAGGTTGTAGATATTACGATTCTTTTTCAGTTGCTGTTGAGCTTTGTTGTAAGAGTATCATTAAGGTACGTTTTCATTAAATCATAATTTTGCTCTTAGCACTTATTATATGGTAAACATGTAAAACTACCAGTTTTTTATACCATCTTCATTGACTGTAAACAAAATATAAATAAAACACATAATTCAAAATTTACTTATATGAAAAAAAAAGTTTTCTTCTGACTTACACTGTTCTCATATTTTTCTCCATAGCATTAGTCTGATCTTTTTTTTCTTCTATAGGGTCAGGATCCACTAAGTTGGCAGTAATTAAAGCTAGAGAAAAGGTTTTACAGTACAGACAACATAACTATCGTCTCCTTCCGTGTAATCCCTCCATAGGTAAGAGTTACTGCTGATTCAGTAACAAAAGTTTAGGATTTCATTTTTTTAGAAAATTCATGTAGTTAAAATATACGAGTGCAGTGGTTTGTTGTAATTTTGATTCATAACTTGCTTCATATTGAGTTTTTAAATACTTGTTTATCATTTTCTTGTTTTGTAATGTAGGTATTCATTAATTATTTTTCAGAATTGTGTTATACACTTTTTGCTGATAAGTATATGTTTAATGTTAGATTTTTCAGCAAATTATTGTGTTGAGTTGTAGAACATGCAACAAACAAGTTGGTACATTTTAAATAATTGCTTCTGTGTCCGGTAAGTTTCAACATTAATTTTTTTTCTCAGTAAGTCTGTGCTTCAGATGTCTATTCCAATAAATATACTGGAAAGCCCTATACATAATGTATCTGAAAAATGAAGTACAGTAAAAACAAGTAAAACGCCAAACTGCAGCAATTGAAACATCAGATTTATAGTTTCAACTTGGTACATACATTTAGCAAAAAAAAAGTATTTTCTTTTTTCAAATACATAATAATATTTTTAAATACAGTAAAGAGAAACATTTAACACATGTTTATAAGAGAGATTATATCTTTAATTGAACTTGCATATTTTTTATGGTGCTTCAGAACAAAATAATTTAGCATGATAAAGGAATGAACCAAGCTAATACCTGGCACAAACATTGTAGAAATTTATCTTTGAGAGAAGTTCCTTAATGTAACTGTATAAATTAAGTACAATGTAAATACATCTAAAGCACAATATATGAAGTAAATATTGTATGTTTTGTGTTAGTAATTGTTAACTAGTGTCTCTGTATTACATATAAGCAACCTTAAAGCTAGCACAAGCATATTTGTAATTCAAATAAACTTTAATTTAATATCATATACAGTCAACATGAAAGGCAAGGTTTGTTTGTAATTAAGCACAAAGCTACACAATGGGCTATCTGTGCTCTGCCCACCACGGGTATCGAAACCCGGATTCTAGCGTTGTAAGTCCGCAAACATACCGCTGTGCCACTGGGGGGTAAAAGGCAAGGTCATTTTGAAGGATATTCCCCCTTTTTTTTTCGACGATGGTACTTTAGTAACTTCCAGTGAAGGAATGTTTAACTTTTGTTTGTTTTGTACATTACAGATATATTGTTCTTAACAAAGTCTAATAAACTGTTATATAATATGTTTTTTATTTCTTTGTATACCACTTGTACTTGTTAGTTGATGCTGTATTTAGAATATGTTATTATAGGATTTTACTTATATTTATTTCTCATAGAAGATCCTCCACCTCCTTACACACCAGGGCTTTGTAATCCAAACACTGGCAGGCTGTATGATGATGAAGAATCTTCAAGGAACAATCAGCTTGGTAACCAAAGTACAGTGCAAAGACAACGTGCAGTGCCATCTGATTCTCTGCCATCATCTGATACATCATACATTACCTGTCTTCCTTTAGAAACAGTCAGACAAGTCTCATCATCCTGCCTTCCAACACAGAACTCTGACATACAGTGGGAAACAGAAAATTGTTATCCGGATGATTTAGCTGAAGCTCTTGGGGCTGCCAAAATTTGATTGTAAAATAGTAACCCAGAGTGGAGCAGCATAGCCTCTGTGATACTCTTAACACATGGTTATGAAAGAATGATTGCGAATAAAACTAACATTTTCGAAACATATTACAGCACAGTGGAAACATAAGACAGTATGGTGGTGTGTTGTGTTTGGAAAAATGTTTGTTCCTTCAATTTCTGTAATATCAACTTTTGCTCATTTGCAGCCACCACCCTCATCAACTCTAGAGATGTTATAGTTCTTATGGTTTTTGTTCTGCAGTTTTATGGAAGAAACCCACAGAAAATGTTCTTTATTTATATTACATGTATTTGAATTAGAAATGGCAATGGTTGTAACTTGCTATAAGAAGAGCTTAAATTAGTTAAGGAAAACATATTGTGGATGTAATTGAATTTTGGAGAACCAGTGCTTAATGTATTTTAAGATTGTGTTGGTAGTGTTGCTCACATTTATCTATGGTAATTTCATGGGTTGATAAAAATGCACATATAAAAGGATATCTGTTTTAGAATTGCTTTTTTTTTTATAGTTCTGATATTGTAAATTTTCCCAAACATATAAAGATATAATGTTGAGGAAAACCACTCTTGATGAACATATTACAATATAAGAAAACCATTTGTTATTCTGGATGTGTAGTTTTTTTTGTAGGCAGTTGTTAAATATGTGTGGGTGTGAAATAGAAAGCATAACAAGTGTATTCTTGATGTTTGGTTGTTAAGATTTTGCTTATTACATGATCATCTGTCGTAATAGAGAATCGTGTATCCCTAAAATTGTAGTTTTAAAATATTCATTTTATAATACAGCATTTCATACTTTGAAGGTTCTAATATTGTTAGCATAGCCCTTTCAATCATGGAATAAATCATAATTATTTGTAAAATAAATGTTTTTTTTAACTTATAGATCTTTCAGATAGATTGGAAAACAAAAAAATGTTTGTATAGTGAATTCAAGCTATGAGAGCTTCCTAAGAGAATGTTCATTGTGTAATAATATAGCAAGTAAATCCTTTCCTGCTTATTAATCTATTCTTCTCGTGTGGACTAGTATATGTGGCAGTAACAAATCCTTGCAAGACTTAAAAGTGGTGAAAATGTTTCCATACACTTCATTTCAAACACTTTTTCTATAAGGATGTTAAATGCTCTTAATAGTCAGCAAATAATATCTTCTAAGGAACTGTCCAGTAATATTAATTAAATAGGATATTATGAGGTAAAAATATATTTTTTTTTTTTTACTTCAGGCTTTAATTTCTTTGCTTTAATTAATTAGTTTTAGATAAACAGTGAAGTGGAAACACTAATTATAATTTCCACAAAATAAAGTTACTTACCCAGAAAGAAACTCTTAGAAAAATGCAAGATGAAATTCAAATTAAGACTCTTCCAATTAAATTGAAACATGAATACCGTTAGTCTTCCATACATTACCTTTGTAGTTAAGAATTTAGTTTTATCATGTTGAGAATCACATTTTAAGATTTGTAAATATTATATATGTATAAGATGATTGAAGTTATAACTTTTAGAAATAATTGATAAAAGGAGGAAATATCTTTGAATGGAAAAAAAAAGCAGTTGCTATTTAGAAATTACCACCTGTAACATTTATCACACAGTCTGTTTCTGAGTTCTTAAAATATTGGATTAGTTTATATACTGTTATCAGATGAGTGTATATTTCTTGTAGTTTCAATTCTGAAAAACTAGTTTAACATTCCTGTCATAAAGACAACTCCAGGATAAAACTGACACTTATGATAGAGATATATTAATGGGTAGTTGCTCTATCACAACTTTTATCTAAGGATATACTGCTGATATATTTCTAGAATCTTTGTTTGCATGTGCACCTTAATCAGGTTTAAAAGAAAATATTAATAATAACTGTTTTACTGGCTTTGGCTAAGTTATATCCAACACCAACCTATAGCAAGTGAAAAAATATATTTGGATGTCTCTGTGACCAAATAATTTGTCATCAAGGAAAGTAACAGTTCTCTATTATAGACAATTTGAACCAATTCTGAGAGTGAAAAAGTATCCCATAAGGAAGTAGATGCGAGTAGTTTAACAAATGGAATGCACTTTCCAGTTACATTGTTATACATATTTGATGAAGTAAACAATTTTTAATGACTGTATTGACTACTACTGTTTCTGGTGGTTTCAAATCTTTAGTCTCTACAGACTATAGCAAGTTTAATTCTGTATGTTTCCCTAACTTTCTTTAATGTATAAAACAATGTTTTAAGTCAACTTGAAAGCTTGTTAGATGTTATTACATAAAAGTACAAAACCTATATTGTGAACAGCTGAAACTGAAGTTTTGAACAACATCAGTTCTCTCCAACTCAGCTTCACCGATGACATTGTTTTCAGAAGGACGAGTGAGAACTGATGTTGTTGAAAATTCTTTCTCAAGATGGTTGATATGGGTTCTTTTACCTAATCTTTTCAAGTTAAGTAAATGTAATGAAAACCTATGAACTATGTGTAACTGGAAAGGTAGTTAACGACAAAATATGTTGTTGAATGCGAGTGTGAAAATTACACCAATTTTCTAAGCTTATTATAAAAAGGTTGTGAAAGCAGTATTTACTCATGTATTAATATGATTTTATATTATTAACATAAATAAAATATACAAATTAATTCAAGTTCTTTATTTTAGATGAATAAAAATTATCAAAGATGCTATAAATCATGACCTGGAGGACAACAGAGTTTTCAATACATATTATAATATCAATGATTCTTGATGTTGGTTGTCTAAATTCTTAATGTCTTGTCTAGGTTTTCTGCAAATCTAGTGATTTGTATATAGCATAGTTTTCGTACACTTCAAACTTAGATAATTTTCCTTCTATGTTTGAACTAATTGCTTAAGATTTTAAGTGCTGGTAAGTGATAAGCTTAAGAATTATTTATTTCTCCATGTTACACCTTGAATATCATACCATTTTTGTGTTTATATAAAAATGTTGGACAGGGTATAGTGTTTTTTTTTTCTGAGTATGTTTTACTCCAACTGAGTTTGTTTACACGTATTTTTGTTCTTGCAACAGATGCTCCTACTTAGTATACAGAACAATACTTGTAATAGAATCTGAATTTTTGAAGCACGTATAATGAAAAGATAAATGAATGACAAAAAATATTTGTTGTTTATTTGTTTAACTGTATTTTTCACTAAAATACATGCATATGCATCACATAAAATATTATAATTGTAGCATATACATAAAAACATGTACACTTACTTTTCAACTGTAACATTTTTCTTTTAGATTATGAAGTATTCTTTTGTAGAATGTTCTCAAGATTTGATTATTATATATTATTAGTTATCATATACACCAACTATCCAACAACAAACGTTATGACATAATTGTTTTAGAATGTTCTGAATATTATAAATTGACAATAACTCCATGTATTACTCATATCATGGTTACACACCATCCCCGATTAACATTTCTCACTAAATGAGATAGAAAGGTTTTACGTGCCATCTATTTCATCTTTTATTTATTGATTTTATTGTAAATAGGGCCATGTGGATGAAGATAAGTTTTACTTAAAAAGAGATTCTGGCCACAAGTTGTTTAGACTTCAACAACAGGGAAACATTAATGTTATGGTACACTACAGAAACTTCCAAATTTATTAAATTGTAAATAATTTCAAGTTTTGTAATTTTTTTTATTTATCTCACAATTAAGCTTCTTACTGCCTTCTATAACTTACTAGCAACTTAAAGTTTAATCACTGTAATATCTCACAATTACATGTTCATCCTATAATTCCTTTCAGGTTTATCATTTCAGTCCTCACTTGAAAGAGTGAGTGGAGCTTTGTTCATTTTCAACTTCTAGCTCAAAATTTTATCTACATTCCTGTTAAAAAAAAACTATTTTTTTTACTAAGAATGATAAAGCACATTAAGAGAACTTTCTTTAGTAACATAAGTCATCAAAGTATTAAACATGAAAACAGTTATGGAATAAGTGTACAAAAATAATGAGAACTTCCAAAATACCAATATTGGTTCGCTATACAGCTAGAAGAAAATGAACTATGGTTTCTGAATGTGCTAACACATTACTACATCTGTGGAGTGAAGTCTATAGGAGTTCACTCGTACTTTCCAGTACTTACAGCAAAATCTCCAATAACATAACTGGTAAGCCAATCATATTAATATTCTTTTCTTTCGTGCAGGATCTCGGAAATTTAGTGTAAATTAGTCTTCAAATCTGGCAAGATAGTAAATAATTTCCTCATCAAAGTGAAACAACCATGAAAAACGTATATTGGAGAAACTGGAAAAGACATTCAGGAATGTAAGAACATGCAAGCCTGAGCATGCCCAAAAAATAAGACAACAAATACAATGGAAATAATATACTAGACATTTAAGAACTTTTTAAGTAGAAACTAAACATTAACAGACACGTAAAATTGTAAACCATCAGCATTTTCAACCATACACCTGGAAAAAAGTTAAGCACCCACAAATATTTTTCAGGATTGCTTATTGAAAATAAGGTTTAATTTTCATGATGTTAAGCAATGTTCATAATTTCAAACATAATTAAAAGGATGTGAGCGTTCAGGTGTGACATTTAAATCAGGCGCGTTTTTTCCCCACGTGTAACTTGCTCCCTTCTTCACGTCCAATATGCACTATTTTCTCGTGCATCAAGTCCCGAATTTCTGAATGCCAAATCATTTTAAGTAAGAATGGCAAGAAGACGGATATCAGA